GACCGAGGAAAGACTGATCATTAGAAAACAGCATCCAACTCTTTGATACTATGGATTGTGAATGGATGATAAGATTTACTGGACAATTTGAGGGACTCATTCAGTGCCGTTTTCATTTCTTTTTGACACAATATCTTACTGTGTTGCCCAGGCTGGAGTGCAGTGGCACCATAATGGCTCACTACAAGCTAGTCCTCTTGGGCCCATGTGATCTTCCCACCTCAGCCTCCCAAGTAGCTGAGACCACAGGTGCATTCCACCATGCCTGGCTAATATTTTTATTTTTGTAGAGATCGGGTCTCCCTGTGTTGCCCAGGCTATTCTGGAATTTCTGGGCTCAAGATATCCTCCTGCTTTGGACTCCCAAAGTGCTGGGATTACAGGCATGAACCACAGTGCCCAGCCAATTCCCAGTTTTTCATGGTGGTTCATAATATCTTCCTTCCCTTGGGCTCCCTACAGAGGAACATTGACCATGTGCTCTTCTCAGGTTCAGCATAAGAGTTCCCATTTTCCCTAAATTTCACAGATCACCATGGAATGTGTGACTTTTAGAACCTCCCCAAACTCCCCACACTGGGCACACATCTCCAAGTGGGTAGCGTATTTGCCTCTCAAAAGCTAGTCCTTTGTTCTTATCATCTTTCATTCACTAAACACTAATTAAAAGCATCAAGCACTATGCTAGTGACCAGGATTAGTTGTGTGCCAGGGAAGCCCGAGTCTCACTCAGAATCAATTACCACCATCTTGGGAGGGAGGATGAAACAAAAGTGTAATATACATGCATGACAGCTTGGGTTGGAGCACAGACAATCCTTCCCAAGATTTCCTCCCTTCTTTTTATTCTGCTCCTCTGCCTCCTGTGGAGCCTCTCACTCCACCCCCTGGGTCTGGTTCCATTGAGCTGCTACTCCTTACCGCCAGGCCCAGGACCTCTCCATTCCTTTGGTTTGAGGTTGCAGAATCTTGGGAAGATAACAGTGGATCCTTGCATCCTTCAGAACAGGGCACCAACCAGAAAAATTCATCTCTGTCTTGCTAATGCTTGTTACCTTGAAAGCTTAATTTTGAATGCATTATCATGCTAAAGGAATTTCTTCCCATAAGGGAAGAAGACAGGAAGAGACAAAGCAGGCAAACAATACAGAGAACCACATCTGTTTACTTTCTGAGGAGGAGATGACAATCTTAGACATTTTTGCAGCTACATCTTTGCATTTGCTCTGCTCACGGCCATCTCTGTCAACCTCCTCTTATCATGGTAAGACAGATGAGCCCTGCTCTTGGGACAGGGATAATCCAAGTTCAGGAGCTTACTCAGCCAGCTCATTCTCAAGGACAAGATTTTTGTTAGATTCTTCCTTGTTATCTAAGCCAGTGGTGTGGAACTTTGACTTGGGGTAGGCAGAATAAACCCGATAAAAAGTCAGTTATAATGTCTTGGTGAGGCGTTTGGTCTTATAACATTGGCAGTTGTTCTTTGGAATGTTGAGAAAAGCTGCAGGACTAGTTATCCCCTGGCAAGCATTCTATTCTTTTGCTTAGCTCCAGTCCTAACTAATGACTGTTAAAGGCTGAAATGATCCTAAATTATTCTCTATATTTTCAGCCAGGTCCCAGCTGGTCATCTTCTGTCAGTTGTGCCTGCTGAAAATGGAAAAAAAAGTGCAGCTGACCCATATTACAAAGGTTGCTGTATTCTTAGAGATTTGTTGATCTGATTTTAAAGTCCCGGAAGCTAGCACTGCACTTTGAAATGGCACATTGCTTGGCATGAGATTTAAATTCATTTTGGGGTGGATTCCTCAGGTTCTTACTGACATGTTCTTGAAGCACGTAATAGAGTAAGTGCTGCTCACCTCTTTCCCCCATGATATGGTTTGGCTTTGTGTCCCCACCCAAATCTCATCTTGAAAATTTAATCCCATAATTCCCATGTGTCCTGGGAGGGACCTGGTGGGAGGTGATTGAATTAATGGGGTGGTTCCCCCCATGCTATTCTTGTGATAGTGAGTGAATTCTCAAAAGATCTGATGGTTTTATAAGGGGTCTTCCCCCTTCGCTTGGCATTCACTCATTCTGTCTTCTGCTGCCCTGTGAAGAAGTGCCTTCTGCCATGATTATAAGTTTCCAGAGGCCTCCCAAGTCATGTGGAACTGTGAGTCAACTAAACCTCTTTCCTTTATAAATTACTCAGTCTTGGGTATTTCTTCATAGCAGTCTAAGACTGGACTAATATATTTCACATACCATTACTTTGTCTTTCAGCTTGCCAATGCACACTGTGATCAAATTATGCAGTGATTATAACTGGATAATATTTGTTTTCAAATTTCTTCCCTCTATGCCTGCAACTATGGCTCCTTTAGGACAGCAACTATGATTCCTTTGCTTACCAGTAGCTTTCTAATTCCACCACCCTGCCTGGTACATAATAGGTACTCAATAAACATTTGTTGAATGAATTTTGTATAGTATCTCTGCTTAAAAATTTTCAAGGCTTCTCGTAGACTTCCTGCTGACTTCGGCATAATAAAGAATCATTTTGTGTAGGGTGGGGCAGAGGGATTCAAAGGATATCCTTGGGCCTATGACCCAAGGCTTTCTTTATTACTCCTAAATACTTGTAGAATCTAATAAAACTAGGAAGGCTACCCCACCTCATGTCTTTTTTAGTTCTCATTTGAATTATTATGAAGTCTCCTTGCCTCCTGACTCTCTCATTTTACTCACTGAACCTCCATCTCCTGAGTTAAGGAGTAGTCACATAATTTGCAGGGCCCAGTGCAAAATGAAGAGGACCTCATTCAAAAGTATTGAAGCTTTCAACACAACGACAATACATTAGCAAAGCACAAGGCCCGACTATGCATGGGGCTCTATGTGTCTATGTGACTGCACTGCTTGCATATCCATGAAGCCAGTCCTTTCACAATTTAATTCTTTTAAAGCTCGGTTTTGGTCATGGTAAGCACTTGCTCAAAAACTTTCAATAGCTGCACATTGTCTAGAGTTCTAATTTTAGGGTCCTATGAATTCTGATCCCAGTCAACCTTTGCTGCTTCCTTTCCTAGAAGTCTCTTTATATGCCTTATGTGCTTTCCAAACAGAACTACTCAACCTTCCCCAGAGGTATCCTTTCCTGTATCTGTGCCTTTATTTGTACTATTCCATTACTTAGACTGCAGAACTTCCCACTTCCCATCAACACAAATCCTTTATGAAGTCTTTCCCAATCCTTTCATTTCTCAGAAATCTTTTCTCCATTTGAATTTCTAATAGAATTTTAGCAGAGTTCTTTTTGTGTTCATTAATTCCCTAGTGAGCTCTCAAGATTGTGCTAGACACTGCGGGAGGTACCAAGATGAGCACCGTCAGTTCTGTTCTGTGACTTTGCTGCTAGACTCCTTTAAGTTCCTACGGGCAGGTTTTGTCTAGATTTGCCTATCCTGGCCTTCCATTCAGTGGATACGTACTCACTTAATATTTGTCAATTCAATAAAAGCATGAATACATCAATGGTTACCAGTTGACTTTCAAGAAAAGGGCATACCAAATCAAACCCAAAATGAGATATCACCTCACACCTGTTAGAATAGCTATTATTAAAAAGACCTGTTAGAATAGCTATTATTAAAAAGTCAAGAGATAGCAAGTATTGATGAGGGTGTGAAGAAAAGGGACCCCTAGTACTGTTGGTGGGAATGTAAGTTAGTACAGCCATATGGAAAACAGTATGGAGGGTCCTCAAAAAAAATAAAAATAGAACTACCACGTGAACCAGCAATCCCTCCACTGAGTATATACCTAAAAGAAATGATATCAGTATCTCAAAGAGATATCTGTGCCCTCCTGAACGTTGCAGCATTATTCACAATAACTAAGATATGGAAACAACTAAAACATCCATTGATGGATAATGAGAGAAGACAATGTGATACATCATGTATGTATCAATGTATATATATATATATGTATCATATATATGTATCATGTATATGTATCATATATATGTATCATATATATGATATATATGATATATATGTATCATATATATGATATATATGATATATATATGCATCATATATATGTATCATATATATATGATATATATGTATCATATATATATAATGGAGTGCTATTCAGCCTTCAGAAAAGAAAACGCTGCAATTTGGGACAATGTGGTTGAACCTGAAGGACATTATGCTAGGTAAGATAATCCAGACATGGAAAGACAAATACTCCATGACCTCACTTATATGTGGAATCTTAAAAAGACACATAGAAGCAGAGTAGAACAGTGGTTTCCAGGATGGCGAGAAGGAGGAAATGGGGAGCTATAGGTCAAAGGGTTCAAATTGGCAGTTATGTAGGGTAAGTCTAGAGATCTAATGTACAACATGAGGACTACGGTTAATAATATTATATTATATATTGAAAACTTGCTATGAGTGTAGACTTTATGTGCTTTTACCCTCCCCCCCCACATACATATGCACACAAAGGTAACTATGGAAGATAATGAATATGTTAAATTGCTTAGCTATAGTAGTCATTTAGATATGGACACGAAAAAATTTGATATGGATATCAAAACATCATATTGTACATTGTAGATTTATACAATAAAAATAAATTTAAAAAGAAAAGGGCATACATTCATTTGTTAAGTAAATATTTATTGAGCACCTACTACTATGTGTTAGACTGTAAGAGCTTGGAATTAGAAATCAAAAAGGCAGATTAGTTCTTGTTTGCTTGAAGCTTACAGTTTTCATGGGGGAGGCATAGAATAAACAGACAAACAATCAAAGAAACAAACCAGAAAAGTAATAACTGCTCCTAAGTGTGTTGGATGTCATTATGAAAGGATGGTGTGTTTGAGGTTGTCTGAGAGATTCTTTTGGATTGAATTATCAGGGAAGTTGATACCACCAGGTGACATTTAAGCTGAGCTCTGAGTGTCAAGTGGGAGAAGCTTTGGGAAAGTAAAGAACAGAAGGTTTGAGTGGCTTCGTCTTCGGCTTTTCTCTCGCTTCGCTGACGCCTTGCGACTCTCATCAGCCTCTGGCCATCCGTCTCCTTATCACCGAACACCATGCCTTCAATTAAATTGCAGAGTTCTGATAGAGAGATATTTGAAGTTGATGTGGAAATTGCCAAACAATCTGTGACTATCAAGACCATGTTGGAAGATTTGGGAATGGATGATGAAGGAGATGATGACCCAGTTCCTCTACCAAATGTTAATGCGGCAATATTAAAAAAGGTCATTCAGTGGTGCACCCACCACAAGGATGACCCTCCTCCTCCTGAGGATGATGAGAATAAAGAAAAGCGAACAGATGATATTCCTGTTTGGGACCAAGAAGTCCTGAAAGTTGACCAAGGAACACTTTTTGAACTCATTCTGGCTGCAAACTACTTAGACATCAAAGGTTTGCTTGATGTTACATGCAAGACTGTTGCCAATATGATAAAGGGGAAAACTCCTGAGGAGATTCGCAAGACTTTCAATATCAAAAATGACTTTACTGAAGAGGAGGAAGCCCAGGTACGCAAAGAGAACCAGTGGTGGGAAGAGAAGTGAAATGTTGTGCCTGACACTGTAACACTGTAAGGATTGTTCCAAATACTAGTTGCACTGCTCTGTTTATAACTGTTAATATTAGACAAACAGTAGACAAATGCAGCAGCAAGTCAATTGTATTAGCAGAATATTGTCCTCATTGCATGTGTAGTTTGAGTACAGATTCCAAATCTATGGCTGAGTTTCTTCTAGTATGATTGAAAGTTTCTTTTTTCTTTGCTCTGAATAAAACTGAACTGTGGGTTCTCTGTAAGTGGCATTTTGGGCTTTCCCTCTTTTTTGTAAAGCAATGTCTGCCTAGTTTCTTGTCCAGTTAACTTTAGTGATCTTTTAAAAGTTGGCATTGTAAATAAAACAACCTGCAAAAAAGTTACCTGGAATAGAATTAACAAAATATTATCTTTATTCATGAGTTGGAAACTGGAAAAGGCTTCTTGAAGTAAATGTTCTGAGTGGAGTTACTAGGATGTCTTTCAGCCTCCTGCAGGCAAGGAGTACCACTGTATTGATTAGCCTGTATTTAGCAGGGCTCCTCCCTTCATTGCATCTGAGGACTTGTTTTCTTTATCTTTAATTTTATTTTTAATCCTCTTAGCTTTAATTATATTGCCTAGAGACTCAGTTACTATCCAGTTTGGTTTTTTGGGAGAAATGTAACTGGACAGTTTGTCAGCGTTTCAATTAAAGACACTTAACCTAAAAAAAAAAAAAAAAAGAACAGAAGGTTTAATGCAGAGAAGCTGGGCAGTGAAAAGGCCTTAAGGTGGAGATTAGCTTAGTGTCAAGGTAGAGAAAGGTCAGGGTGGTCAGAGCAAAGTGGGCATAGCAAGAGAACTGAGATGAGCTGAGAGGAAGTCAGAGTGGGCATTTAGGGCTCCATAAGCCAGAAAATGAGGAGTTTTGATTTCTATTCTAAGTTTGAAGGCATGCCTTTGTGGACTGGGAAGTTTGGGCTTAAGCACAGGAGGAATGATTTGAATTCCATACTTTGGCCTGTGAGGTGGCAAAAATCAAAACAAGGAGATTTTAGGCTAAAATAGTCCAGGTGAGAATCACTAATGGCTTGGATTTGGGTAGTAGTGACTTGATTACCCAGGTGTTTGTACTGTTCTGGGAGATAGAGGACATTAGGAGGCATGCTGCAGAGAGGTTCCACCAAGCAGATGAGGAAAGTCTGGATGGGTGTGCTATGTAGTAAAGGATTAACCTTGCCCAAAAGCAGATCTGGCATGTGTCCTTGGCCACTGGAAGATAACCTCTAACACCTTGGAATGTCCCACCTGATTTTTTTACCTGGGAGTCTTGGGCCATGCTAGATAGTCCATGCTAACCGTATGATTTATGGTGGGAAGCCTTGGGCCATGCAGTGTCAGCTCAACCTCTAGAAGGGCTGGAGACTAAGGTTCGTTAAGGGGGAAGCCAATCATGTCTATGTTACAGTAAAAGCTTTTGGACAGCAAGACTCAGATGAGATTGCCTGGTTGGCAATTCTCTGTGTGCATTGTTATACATCACAGCTGTGAAAGTAAGCACTAGCTGCACAACTCCCCTGAGAGAGGACAACTGGAAGCCCCATGCTTGGAACTCTCCTGAACCCTGCCCTATGCTCCTATCCCCACGGCTGCTTTTAATCTGTATCCTTATGCTGTGATAAACAGTGATATTGAATGTAATGGCTTTCAGTGGGTTTTATGGGTCCTTTTAGAAAATTATCAAACCTGAGGATGGTCTTGGGGTCCTCTGAACTTGCAGTATCATAAGTGAGGGTGGTCATGGAATCCCCAAACTTTGTGATGTGGGTATAAAAACCTGAAAAAGAGAAGCCCAAAATGACCAAGGTCAGTTTATATGCCATTGATCAGCTGAGTCTTAGGAGGATTGAGGAGCAAAAAGAGAGAAGAGAACCCTGCTGTCCCTTGGCAAGTGTCTCAGGGAATTAATTTTCTCCTCTAGACCCATGTCACATTGAGAATAATCTAGTCTTCTGGCCAGAAAGCTGTCTATAGTATAACCTGGAGAGATAGCAATGAAGGGCAATGTCTTTAGTCATTGTACATGTGGATATCTATGGGCAGAAATAGCATTTTTGATAAGCCAACCACCAATATGGTCTTTATGTAATTGAATTCATTCACTGCTATATTAAAAAAGAGGCTGACGTAATTGAAGAATGAGTTCAACAAATCTGTCTTGCCACAGAGATAGCCGTGTGTGTGTGTGTGTGTGTGTGTGTGTGTGTGTATGTGTGTGTGTGTGTGTGTGTGTGTGTTGACATGGATCCCATCCTAAAGAAAAAATAAATCTTGGCTTCAATCAAATGAAGACTCATTTCACATGGCAGCTTCCTTGCATACAGCTGATGGTTGAAGCATGTGGAATTATTTAAAATTGAAGCCTTCGAAAATGAGAACATGACACTCAATTTATCATCCTCTTCTCTGAGGTTTAAAGGGTTCTTCAGAACATAAGCCAAGACCAGTTGCTATTTTAATAAAGCTGTAAGTATCATTTCATGGTCTTAGTCAGGGCTTCCCCACTTGGCATCTCTCAGCATCCCCACCATCTTGGCTGTAGAGGGTGCCATAGATGTATTGCATAGAGGCTGCTTGGGAAAGTATGTCTTGTTTCACAGGCTCTACCAAGGACAAGGGCAGCAATAGCAATTGTTCAGAACTTTGAAAACCAGATATTCCCTCCTGGATACCTCAGCTTCGATCAGGATTGTATTAGTTTTCTATTGCTCCATAGTTAAGTCACCACAAAATTAGTGGCTTAAGGCTTCTCTGGGTCAAGACTCTGGGCTCAGTTAGCTGAGTCCTCTGTTTTAGGGTTTCTCACAAGGCTGCAATCAAGTTGTCAGCCAGGGCTCTCGTCTCATCTGAAAGTTCAAGTGCAGAAGGATTCATGTTCTGCTTCTCAGCCCATTCAGCTTGGCAGAATTCAGTTCCTGGAGGACTGTATGACTAAGAGCTGTAGATCCTTCATGGCTATTGGCTACAAGCCACCTTCAGATCTTTTCCATGTGGGCCTCTCCAACATGGCCATCTCTTTTATCAAAAGATGCAAGTAAGGAAGCAAGAAAGAGTCTGCTAGCCAAGATGGAGATTATAACCTCATCCCATCCCATCACCTCTGCTGTATTCTATTGGCCAGCTCACACTCAAGGGGAGGGGATTGCACAAGGGTGTGATACCAGGGCATGGAGATCACTGGGGACCATTTAGCATCATCCTGCCATGAGGAGGCTGTCCCTGATTGGAGAAGTCACAGCAATATCCTCTTATAAAAAATGTGCTGCATATTCCTGAGTTTCAAAAATATTCATGCAGCAGGCAAATTGTATCTTTGAAGAAACTGTGATGTCCTGGTGGCAAACTTATGTCTACATATTTCCATTTATCTTTTCATCTTTCTCATGAAATACTATTTTGCATTCTCTCCAGAATCTTTTTCCTTTTATTCCTCCTTTCATCACCAACCTAGTGAAGGAAATAGCTGGTCAACTTAGAATCTGGGAAGAGCTCTAATTCCTAGAATTTGGACAGAGTAGACTAGAACTTAGCTGGTGGGTGGTATTGTGTCTGCTCAGGGAAGCTTCCTGACCTTGGATTTCACAGTTTCACCATTTCTCTCTTATGCTTATGAGGTTCTGAATCAGACACCCACACAGTTTCAGAGCTGTTTCCTAGAGCTGTCTTCATAATAAAGTATTTCCAGGGAATTCCATGCTCTATCCTCTGTAGTTTTAAAACATATTGAATCTGTTCCTGCCAGTTTTCCTGATAGATATGACCTAAAGTTACAGATGACATTCAAATAGAAAAGCCTACATGTCTTTTTCAAATGGTCAGTTATTTCACGGATTAGATAATTGTTGGTATTGTTTTGGTCGCCATAACAATCAAGCACTAGACTAATTCTTTCAGTCTCTCATTCACACAGTCACCTTCTACTCATTCAAGAACAGTCAATGGCTGCCCACTGCAGCTGCTGAGAGTGACAAGATGTCAAAGGCAAAGTTACTGCCCTTATTGATCCTGGCTCTCCCCATCCTCATGGGGATGTTTCCTAGTGCCCACAAAGGTGTCTGTACACTGCTCTACCCTTTCCTAGAGATAGTGTTTTATCTCTAGTGCCTGCTATGAGAAATCCCTTGACTCCTTTGTCTGAACACAGGGAGTCAAGGGCAATTCTTAGGCCATATCAAATCAGCAGCCCCTTTCGTAGGTTCTTCTGGGGACTCAGTTGCTATCAGGAGCCTGCCTGCACTGGGTCTGGGTTGGGCCCAAGAGTTTGCAAGGTTCTTCCTTTCATAAACTGGTTGGGGGTAGAGAATGGAGAAGAGAGAGAGATGGGAAGGATGTTAGGATCTTACAGGCTAGATAGGGTATTAGAGCCTTTAAAAGAAGACAAGATGGTGGATCCCTGAACCTGTAGGGAGGCCTAGAGGTAGTTCTCAAACAGGTTAGTGCATATTAGAATCCTTTGAGGGAAAGCTTTTTTTTTTTTTTTTTTTTTTTTTTCTGAGGCGGAGTTTCGCTCTTGTTACCCAGGCTGGAGTGCAATGGCGCGATCTCGGCTCACCGCAACCTCCGCCTCCTGGGTTCAGGCAATTCTCCTGCCTCAGCCTCCTGAGTAGCTGGGATTACAGGCACGAGCCACCATGCCCAGCTAATTTTTTGTATTTTTAGTAGAGACGGGGTTTCACCATGTTGACCAGGATGGTCTCGATCTCTCGACCTCGTGATCCACCCGCCTTGGCCTCCCAAAGTGCTGGGATTACAGGCTTGAGCCACCGTGCCCAGCCGAGGGAAAGCTTTTTTGAAAGGAAAATTATCTGTCTCCATTCCCAGATATTTTGACTCAGAGGCCCAAATATGGCCTAGGCATCTGCATATGCATTTTGCATTTCTCATAATTCAGATGCTGGAGGTCCACATTTACAAACAGTGCAACTAATAAATAGATTACATGTAAACCATAAGAAGAAAGAATTCAAGGAATACATTTACTACTTGTTTTCCCTTCATTGATTTCAGGTACATAATCACAAACTCAATACAATCTACTTGTTTTTGACCAGAGGTAGAGCGACTGCAGTGGTTATCAGATGAGGGAAATCTGAAAGCTGAAATTAAAATAACTGGCTACTTAATTCAGTTATTCATCTACTCCAGGCAAGGAGCATTCATTCACTTCCTTTCTTTTCTTTCATTCAAGAACGTAGTCACCTATACTTTATGAATGAAAGCCAACAGCCTTTCACAGCTAGACAAATAATGCCGGCTTTGGACAACCAGACAATGTCTCCTCTGTATTGATGTCTCTAAATCACACCCTGAGTACCCACTGCTGTTATTCTCTCTCAA